GCAGTATGTTTTATTATTTTGGGTTTGACCAAGCTAGAAAGTCTATAGAACTATGCAGTATGTTTTAATATTTTGGTTTTGACCAAGCTACAAAGTCGATAGAGCTATGCAGTATGTTTTATTATTTTTTGTTTTGACCAAGCTACAAAGTCTATAGAACTATGCAGTATGTTTTATTATTTTTGGTTTTGACCAAGCTACAAAGTCTATAGAACTATGCAGTATGTTTTATTATTTTGGTTTTAACCAAGCTACAAAGTCTATAGAACTATGCAGTACGTTTTATTATTTTTGGTTTTGACCAAACTACAAAGTCTATAGAACTATGCAGTACGTTTTATTATTTTTGGTATTTTCACCAATGTTTACATCGTTTGAATTTACATCTTTGGTACTAGCAATCAATCATCAAAAAAACAACAAAAAGTTCACGCTCTGTTTTTTCTTTCCCTCTCGAGTGGAACTTACACATGAGTAATTTTCCACAGCCACAGATGTTAGATTACATCATATTTCTTGTTTGAATCTCATTAAATATTGTTTGGAAGAGAATTTGTACTTTTTTTTATTTGTAAGCTTCGCTCGGAAAGAAAGTATTTTGTATCGTTCCTCTTGCTGCTCGGATATTCTTGGCATAGCTGTAAAATCTTCGTTATTGTCTCAACAAGGAATGTTGTAGTTGAATCAATCATTCTTGTAGTGACCATTAACTAATGGAAGTGTTTGAAATATTAAGTACTTAAGCACGTCTTACACGGAAAATGGAAATTGTTGTCAAATGGAATTCTTATGAGAACGTTTCGATTTAACATTTACAAATTTTGTGTCTGGGAGCGTGTGCAATGGATAATAATAACAGGACAAATTCAGCCTCCAAGTAAACAATCCTAGATAAAACCACATAGACATTTATGTTTCTTTAGAAACATTCCTTATTCAAATGTAACAAATCCCTTTTAAGTAACGTTCTGTGCATGCGGTACAACGTCTGACAGAAGTAGGGGGTGTAAAATATTAATACATTATCATCTAATGTAAATTTCATAACATCAGAATAAAGATGAGACCTAAAAGCACGATTCGTCGTAATCTGGTGTGATTTACCAATTTGAAAAATGCACACAGCATCTTGTTTCTTTGTTTTTGTCTGTAACATCACTCTCTCTTAAAATGAAAAGAGTAATTCACATATATTCAAAAAGAGAGAGAGAGAGAGAATAAGCTAAAATTAATTATTTCATGAAAAACACAGTTTAGATTTATACCTGAACTCTGTTGTTTCTTAATGTATAGTATACTGTTTCTTTTCTTTCCTTTAAATTTATAAACATTAACTATTAGATATTTTCATTCTGCTAGTCACTTTAAATGCGAGTGGTAAAAATGTATCTTTATGCCATTCATTATAACTGTTTGTTTGGTTTAATACAAAAGTGTGCAAAGGACTATCTGAGCCGTGACCGACGGAGAGATCGAATCCCAAACTTTTAGTGTTTTAAGCCCTGAAGCGGACCGCTGAGCAATCAGAAGACTCCCATTATAAACATAGACTCTACCAGTTAAGATAACTGTGTTTTGTCGTAAGAACATGTATAAGTATCTTGTTGTTTTTAAACGTATTTTGACGTTATAATGATGAGTATATGGGTTTATTTAATGACCAAAACAAATTATGAGACAAAAAACAACATAAAACTATTCAACTTGAATCATTAAATAGTTTGAACATAGTATTTGAATACACTTCTCAGTTCTAAACGTAGCTAATGAAACTTGAAAGGACCTAAATTCACATCTCTTAAAGCAACTTTGTCGAAAGTGTAATTATTCTTAATAGTTGCTTGAGAGTCAGTTGGTTGAAAGTTTATAAAAATCGTGTAATTTTGAAAGCTGTTTAGTTCGAATACTGCTACCCTTAAAATCAAATTCTAAATTGCTCGCTATCCAGAAATTTAAGATGAGTCATTTCTGGTTCACCCACTCATGTTTTCGAGTTCCGTATTATTCTTCAGGGCAATCCAGATATTACATATACATGTTAAACTTACATGTTCTCATGTACAATATCTAACAGTGAAGCCATACTACTTATGTGAAGTCAAGTAGTACATTACCTTTCATGGAAGACACCAAACAACAAATATTTCTACAAATCTTGGCTAAAATACAATATATATAGTAACCAAAAACTAAATCAACACAGGTCCTCTTTTTTTCCATATATCTGAGTAAAACACTTAAATGCACCTGTTGGTAACTATTAGAAAAGACTCATAATCGCTTAGGACAGAACGAAATAACCAATATGTTATTGTCTTGTGTTCTTTATTCTTAAATAACATATCGCAGTTCAGTCTTTTTTAGAGTCAATAACGTGTTTCCTTTATTCAACTAAATGATGTTTAATTTTCAGACACTGAATAGCGTTTGAGTAGCAAAGAACAGTCTTAAAAAATTATCAGCACTGATACTAAAATGAAAATGTTAATTAATGTTCTTGTCTAAGTATTATTGCACCGGCCTGTTGTAATCCAAAGTTGTCAGCAATTGTTGTTAATTGATGTTCTTGTCTAAGTATTATTGCACCGGCCTGTTGTAATACAAAGTTGTCGGCAATTGTTGTTAATTAATATTCTTGTCTAAGTATTATTGCACCGGCCTGTTGTAATCCAACGTTGTCAGGAATTGTTGTTAATTAATGTTCTTGTCTAAGTATTATTGCACCGGCCTGTTGTAATACAAAGTTGTCAGCAATTGTTGTTAATTAATGTTCTTGTCTAAGTATTATTGCACCGGCCTGTTGTAATCCAAAGTTGTCAGCAATTGTATTCTTACATTATTGCGATTTTGAGTTATCATTTCCAGTTATAAGTTTTGGGCATTTAGTGATTAAAGATAAATTATTTTATGAAACCTAAAACGATTAAAGGAAAAACTTACTGGCCAGTAGTTCCTCGCTTGCTTCCAAAAATGGTATAGCCACATTGACAACCACCTATGTTACCTGTGAAGCCAGTTTTAGTGCAGAAACTTTGGCAGTCTAGTCGTTTTCCCTCAGCTCTGGTGGTTGCTACGAAGACCATCAGCAGCACATAACTAATTAGTAGGACTTTTTGAGTGACCTGCATTCTAACGATGTTAATTGTTGTTTGTAGAAACGATCTTAAGACGTAGAAGTATTTAGGATCAGCCTGTTAGAGTTAACTGTAATTTGTTCTGGCTCTAACCTTTAGTGTAAGATATGAGAAGCACTTACTTTCTAACTAAGTCAATAATAACTTCTATCTAGGTTGTATCTAGGTTGATGTTGATCCAGAATCTCACCAGGATAGCGATTATATATATAGAGAGAGAGAGAGAAAGAGAAAAAATTTTTGCCTACACAATTTTCCAGATGATTGTGAAAATATTATGTCACGTTTGGAATCTATTGGAAGACTCTCGATCACGTGGTACCTGACGTCATAAAATGTCGACCAATTCTGATAAGACGATAGAATATATTCCTTTACGGAGGAAAGTTATATTTCGTTATTCGAGGATCAACAGAATCATTCATCCTAATGTGGCATTTATGTTAGATAGGAATGGGTTAAGATAAATTGACTAAAACAACAAAACTCAAATACAGATAGGTCGAAGTAATTGTCAAAAATTTACCAATGTAAAACATTACAAATGAAGGAACTTTTGTTAGCTTTTTCACATGAGTTATCTACCTGTGTTTATATTAAAAGTTAAGAATAGTAGAACAATATACACTTGTTTACTGAATGTTGTTCTGTAACGGTGTTTTCTACCATTTTGTATTGAGGAAACTTAATCTTCGACTAGACAGGAACTAGTGTGTAAGCTTGTAAAGAATACACAATTCATTCGACGGGATCGAAGTTTAATGATGAATAATAGTACGACGGCAACAACAATAATAATAATAATCATTTAATTCTTGAACGTTTCGGAATGTACATATTCCATCTTCAGCAAGCTATATTAAACAAGGTAAAATATTAGTTTTTAAAGTTCCAACATTTTGTAAACAAGAATTAATGTACAGAGTAAAAGGATGACATTAATTTTAAAAAAAAGAATAGGATAGTGCTACAATTGTAACAATATTACATTTTTTGGTGAAATTATACAGGTTATTCAGACATAATTGTAGCAATATTGTGTTGTTGTTTAAAGTTGGGAGTTCATATATAATAGATAAACTTTTTTCTAAATTAAAAGTTCAATATTGGATGATCCAGATGAGATGAAATTTTTAATCGAGATAGGAGTATCAAGCAGAACAGGAAAACAATTATAAAATCCTCCAGACTTCGCAATTCATATACATAGTGAAAACAGCACCCACCCCATATCGATTAATAATATTCTATCCTATCTGTACAATAATTTTCCTGAAGTAGTCATTAACAAATGTAAAAAGATATGTCTAAGCACACTACAAAAATTTCTTTCATGGGATGTCGTTTAAAGAGAGAGGTAAAGTGAAAACGTTCGAAGCACAGTCACTGAGATGAATTGCTGTTAGCTTTGAAAACTAACACATAATTTAAATTATCTGTTTTCTTGACGTTTCAACAAGTTTTCATGACAAATGACAAGACAGATGAACTTAATAAATGCTTTACAAAGAAAGCCTGGACTCAACTTATTGGACACCTTTCCAAACAGTCTTTAACTATAACTGTATTTTATGATTTATTTGTACATGTTATAAGAATGCATTTAAATCGCCTTTCAGAAATTACTTTGGCAACACGTACCATTAAGTAAGCTTTATAAAACCAAATAATGATCGAAATAAGATGTACAATTACTGGTTTCTTTGTATCGAATTGTAAATTTCAGTTTTAAAAAAATATAATAAAACAGCATCTAAGGCGTTGAAAAACCAAAATGTACAGAAAGTATGTGTTGAAAATAACATTAACACTGGAAACCAGCTCAGTCCAATGTACACAGTGAAGAGAAGTAAGAAAAAAAAAGTTAAATACATACAAATATAAATAAAATAACATCTTTTGTATAGCTGTGATCATTTTGCCTTTCATATTTTTGTTTTGTTGTATGAATTAAGTACTCGGTTCAGGTGTTAAAGAGGTTTTGTTGTATGAATTAAGTACTCGGTCCAGGTGTTAAAGAGAGTGACAAAGTCTACCTGGTAGTTTTAAGGTTAAGTAACCTAGAAAATGAATAAAATTATTATTTGAGTGTTTTTTGGCTAAAGATTCTTAAAAATCTCAAGGAAGTGATCACATTTCCTTTCAAGAATACACAAACTAAAAAAAACTGTGAAAATGATGCTTTGTCAACTCTACGTAAATAGAGCTACATTAGCTTCAGCTGAATCCAAGGCTTACAGTTCTTATCACCAGGCGGTTCTTAAACTTAAAGACGATTGCTATATTTTAAGTGACCTTATTCATCAAGGAAAATCGTTAGCTGGAAAGCATTCTGATCAACTTCTAAAACAGACAATAACAAGAATTTGTATACCTCTAAAAAAATACTGGTATATATTTTGTATCTTTTAGATGAGAGCCTTCAAGAGAAGTTTTGTAGCATTGGGTATATGCACTTTATTAGATGAGAGCTTTCAAGACAAGTTTGTAGCATTGTGTATATAACTTTATTAGAAGAGAGCCTTCAAGAGAAGTTTTGTAGCATTGTGTATATGAACTTTATTAGAAGAGAGCTTTCAAGACAAGTTTGTAGCATTGTGTATATGAACTTTATTAGAAGAGAGCTTTCAAGATAAGTTTGTAGCATTGTTTGTGTGAACTTTATTAGAAGAGAGCTTTCAAGACAAGTTTGTATCATTGTGTGTATATGAACTTTATTAGAAGAGAGCTTTCAAGATACGTTTTGTAGCATTATGTATATGAACTTTATTATAGGAGAGCTTTCAAGATAAGTTTGTAGCATTGTGTGTGTGAACTTTATTAGAAGAGAGCTTTCAAGACAAGTTTGTAGCATTGTGTATATGAACTTTATTAGAAGAGAGCTTTCAAAATAAGTTAGTAGCATTATGTATATGAACTTTATTATAGGAGAGCTTTCAAGATAAGTTTGTAGCATTGTATGTGTGAACTTTATTAGAAGAGAGCTTTCAAGACAAGTTTGTAGCATTATGTATATGAACTTTATTGGAAGAGAGCTTTCAAGATACGTTTTGTAGCATTATGTATATGAACTTTATCTTTTTGTTTCAGCAGCTGCATTGTAATACTTTATTGCAAACTGTTACTTCATATATGTTTAAAAACTGTTGCCTTGGAAGTCATTGAAATAGGATAAAATGTTAAAGTAACGTTTATATTTGTAAGATATCAGCTCCTTCATCCTCAAGCCAACTATTTTTTCATTACAAATGTTGTTTTGTTATCTCTAGTTTTGTTTCATAAATATCCCCCCCCCATCTCTCTCTAATTTTATGTTTTCCCAAAGGACTCTTGGTTTAGTTTTGGGTCAATTTTAGTTCCTTACATTTACACCTTCTGGTTGCAACTAGTAAGTGTATCTTTAAAAATTCTTCTTTCCAAAGAAGCCTGTTCTAACTAGGACGGGCATGACATAGTGATTAAGGTTGATGGTTCGCCTCCCGTTGTTGCAGAAACACGTTACGTACCTTGAAGTCGGAGTCGTGGTTGCTCTATAAGAGTTACAGTAAATTCCAATTACTACGTCCGACGAGAGTAGCCCAAGAGTTGTCGCTGGGTGCCGTCAACTAGTTTCGTTCCGTTCAGGCTATGCGCAGATGTAGCTCTTGCTAGCTTTGCGCCAAAATTTTAAAAACAAAGTTTAAACCAGCGTAACAAATACCGAGTTAAAAATAATACACCAATAATCTGATCGATAATTTACTGTATATTATGTTTTTTATGTCTGTTTTTGTATTGTGGGATTTTTATTTTACTCTGGTTACAGTATTTAGCTGTAAAGTTTTAAACCTTCTAATCAGATGTATTAGCAGTTATACTGAAAGTACTGGACTTTTGAATTATTGCTTACTTTAATCCAGATCCAACTGTAATTACTCAAGATAGACGTTATCTTTTGTGTATATATTTAGACTGTAAATTATATCTATATTTTAAACTTGTTAATTATAAAAGCTGTATCATACTGAAACAAGGACAGATTAAAGACAACGCCATCGTAGTTAACTTACACTACAATATTAGAACACAGAGCATGAAAATGGTTTCCTACCTAGATGACTTTACAAAATTTAACAAAAACCTTTTCATCGTTTATTTAAATGCTAGAAGCAAAGAAACAGAAAGTAGAGAAGAGTAGCTCAAGAATTAGCGATGGGTGCTGTTCACTAGCCCCTCTAGTGTATCAGTTCAAAATCTGAAGCAAAGAAACAGAAAGTAGAGAAGAGTAGCTCAAGAATTAGCGATGGGTGCTGTTCACTAGCCCCTCTAGTGTATCAGTTCAAAATCTGAAGCAAAGAAACAGAAAGTAGAGAAGGGAGAGTAGCTCAAGAATTAGCGATGGGTGCTGTTCACTAGCCCCTCTAGTGTATCAGTTCAAAATCTGAGAAACTGAAGAGTGGGACTCGAACTTTGGAGCCTGAGATTCACAGTCCGCTAGGCTAGTCACTAAGACACGCTCGGTCCAAACATCGAAGTTTATGTTATCGAAGTAGGCTTTAAAATTTCAAATTATTTATCTAGCATTGTTACACACTACGTCAAAATTATACTAGGGGAACTTAACAAAAAAAGTGCGTGTTTTATCTTGGGTCTACTCAACAAACAGTGTTGAAGTAGAGGATTTCTTTTTCGAATTAACAGTTATGACATTTTTAGTTTCTACGCCTTTTTTTTCTAGCTGTAGTTTAAAATCTTACAAATCCCTAAGGTAAATTTAACGATGTGGCCAGTGGTTGCTAGTAGACTAGTAGACAAATAAAAAGATCAAAAACACTCTTTATGATAGCAATGAATTATTAGAGTGTCAGTGACCGAATTATTCTGGGGTTTCCTTGCTTTCGATTAGAACAGAAAAACGAAATTGTCTGGAACGTTTATTTTTTCAACCGCACACTTATTATTAAAGCAACAAATCCAGCTCACTAGGTTTGCATTCATTTTAAAAACATTATTCTAGTTAAAAATAGTTAATGTAGTTAAGCCTATTTACATGTTTTTTTTTTAATTAAAACGTTTGATAAATGGCACAAACAATTACATTTTATTGCATAATTCAAAGAGTAAACTTTTTATTTTTGTCTTTACCTTTTTCTTCGTTCATGGAATTAATTTAACGTGTAATAAAGGA